TAAAGCTAGTACCTATTATATATATTTAAAAAAATATTACTTTTTAAAATAAATAAGATCTGTAATTTTTATCTAAAATATAAAAGCCCTTTTATATAGTTTATAAAAAAATAAATAAATTAAAAAATACTAAAAGCCCTAGCTACTAATAAAAACTATTATTTAAATATATTATTAATATTATATAAAATCTGTTTTTATTTTATAAAAACTAACTATAGATACTAGATAATAAATAGATTAAAACTAAGCTGATATAATTAGCCTATAATAAATTTATTTTTAAATATTTTAAAAAAATATATTCTTATAAGCTACTAGTTTAAAAATACTACTGGCCTACTATCTACTAATATATAAAATAATAAATAAAAAACTACTATATCTACTAAAAAATAATTTTATTTAAAAAAATAAAGTAAAAAACTTTAAAACTTCTGCCAGTATTTAAATAAGTATAATAAAATATATTTATAAATTTATTATATATCTGTTTAAAAGCTAAGGCTATAATACTATTTTAATAATAATTAATTATTTAATAAAAATAAAATATTTAATATTATATAATTTTATAACTAATACTGTTGCTGTTTTAACTATATATATTTAATAAATATAAAAATTATAAAATCTATTTTAATTTATTTTTTTAAATAAAAAATCCTAGTTTATGTTTAAATTTTAAAAATATTTAATATAATAATTAAATATTACTAGTAAGCTTTTTATAGTATATTACCCTAAAACTAATAGCTAAACTAAAAAGATTAATATAATATTTAAATAATATTTTTATATTTATATAAACTATTTATAAAATAACTAAACCTAGTAGTTTTCTTTAGCTAAATTTATTTTAAATATAATTTTTTTTAATATTATTAAATTTATTTTATTTTTTATAAACTACAGCTTTTAGTTTTATATAGATTTTAAGCCTATAGCAATCCTAAACAGCCCAGCTACTAAAAATATAAACTAGTTTACTATAAAAATATAAACTATTATTAAATTTATTAAAGTAAAGATATCTACTGCCTAAGCCTAATATATAAAATAAATAAACTAAAAATATTAATTTATAAAAAAATTAAAAAAAAATTAAAAAATATAGTTAAATATTTATTTTATTAAAATACTAAGACCCAGTTAAAAGCTTAATTAAAATATTCTAAAACTATAAAAAATTAAAAAATTATTAGTTTATATATCTACTAATTAGTTTTATTTTTTACTATAAAATTATATTTTATATTTAATACTAGTCTACTTATTTTTATTAATAAAAAACCAGTTCCAGGCCAGTATTAATCTCTACTATTTTATATAAAAATTAATAAATTAAAAAAATAGAAAATTAAAAATATTTTTAATTTTATATAAAACTATAGAGGATGTGGTTGCCCCTAACTAATATATATTATAAAATAAATTAAATATTTAGATTTAACTACTAAGCTAATTTAATATTTAAAAAATATTTATTAAATAGTTAAAAACTTCTACTACTGTTATTTTAATAAATTATAGTCTATATTTTAAAAAGCTTAGCTTTAAAAAAAATATTATTGTAATATAGATTTAATATATTTATTCTACCTATTCTATTTATTTTACCAGTTTAATTTATTTAATTTATTTAATTTATTTAATTTATTTAATTTATTTAATTTATTTAATTTATTTAATTTATTTAATCGAATATATTTATTTTATTTAATTTAATTTATTTAATTGAATATATTTATTTTATTTAATTTAATTTATTTATTTTATTTTAATAATTTAACTGTTTTTTTAACTGCTTTATATATAATCTGTAATCTTCTTAACTGCCTGTCTACTTTTAAATCTATTTATAGCTTTTTAATTTATATTTTATTTATAAATCTAAAAATAGCCTAACCCAGTAGCTAAAAAATATATTAGAAAAGCAGTTATAAAGAATTATCCAGCCTATACTGTTATTTCTACTACCCAGCCCAACTAAAAACCAGACACCAACCCGCTCCTTAACAGATAGACTATAATATATACTATTAAATATATTAATTAAGCTAACAATATTAGGTTTAAAGCACTTTTTAACTTTTTTAACTAATTTTATTAAGGCTGATTTTTACTATAGGATATTTTTTAATTTTAGTTAAGCCAGTTATATACTACATAGATATAGTATTCTATAGATATTTTAAAGGTATACTTTTACAGTTGGTTTTCTATAATCCTTAATAATATTTTATAAGTAGTTAAGAAAAGTATTTATATTTTAATAATATATATTATTATTAATCTTCTTTATTACTTTATTACTAGATATATTAGAATAAAAGTAACTAATTATCTTAGACCTTAATTTCTCTAAATATAGAGTATAGGCAATATACTTGAAATTATTAGAATAAGAAAATTAAAAACAATTTAAAATAGGCTACTACTAAAACTACCGGGACTAGTAGAACTACTAAAACTGCTACTATTAAAAATTATTGAACATATTTTTAAATAAACCACTACTATAGGGTGCAGTAAAAGGATTAATATAGTTGAAATTAATATAAAAAGTATTCTAATAAGTATACAAAGTAGTATTTAGATTTTAAAGACTTTATTAAAGACTTTAAATATTATTTTTAAAAGTACTAAAATATATTAGTATTTATTATAATACAGTATTGACATTAACTTATTTTTATACTTATATCTGTGTTTTATTACATCTAATATAGCTAGAGAATTTTTATTTAATACTATATTTTAAATTAATATTTTTAATTATGCTAATTTTATATTTATTAAGATCCCAAGATACCAGGAATAATAGCAAGATTGTTTATAATATGAAATAAGTTTCAAAAATCTTAATACTAGATACAGTACTAAGTTTATTATTTTTAAACCCCTTTATTTAGAAGTTTTAAAATTATATATACTTTACTTTTATATACAGCTAAGCTGTAAACTACCTTATTTAATATATTTTAAAGTATATGTTTATATTTTAAATAGTAAAGCAGCAGAACTGGAAAGATTTATCAAAATTATTAAAAATAAACTAAAGAAATATATTTTACAAACTAATTTCTGCAGTCAACTAAAAGATGTTCTAGATATAAACTTTATAGACAAAGAATGTAGTATCTAATCCTTAAAATAGTCTAGACTTAGACTTGGTATTATATATTTTAAAAAGTTTATTATCTTTAAGAATTAGACTATAGATTAGATGTTTGGAAAACTGTATAAAATATATAATAGTAATAGTAGTAAGAAAGTATTAGTATTTTAACTAGTATAAATTCAAATAATTAGTATAGTAGAAGATAAAATCAATAAATATATAGTTTAATATAAATAAATATAGCTAAGCAGTTTATTATACTTAATTAAATTATTTGAAAATACCAAAAGTAAAAATTAAAACTTTAATCTGTATAGAATTAATTAGTAAAAAATTAATATGGTTTTTATATAAGATAGATTACTCAGTACTCTAAGTCTATAAATATAATTCATATTTTAATAAAAAAAGCAGATATTGAGAGTATAATATAGTAAATATAATGTAATACATTTTTATTAGGGTTTTTTTTATAATGTACTAGGCTTTTTTTATAGAATTATATAATCTAATAGGCAAACTCTAATAACAGCTATACTAAAATATATTTAATTTAAAATATTTTTAATTCAAAATATATAAATATAATATATATAATATCAAGAATGTAAAAAATATATATAAAAATAAAAAAATAACAAATATAAGTAGATAGAAAGTGTTAATATAAAAAAAATAAAATAGTCTATAATATAATATATAAAAGCAGTAGATATAGCAAAGCATAATTTTGAATACAAGAGATTTAAGTAAATATATATAGATTCAATAAATTAATTAAATACGTAGGGCAGAGCTTTATAAATTAAGTAATCTATAAGTAAAGATAAAGTAAAAAATTTAGAATTATAGAAATTACTGTAAGCAGCAGAATCTATAGATATAAAATATAAAAAAATTAACAGTATTAAGATAAAGTATTTGTAACAGCTAAAACAGTAAATTAAGAGAAGAAAGTAAAAAATAGTAGTATTTTTTAAAGATATATAGAATATATATCTAGATAGCCAGGGAATATATTATTATATATAAAGATTGCTATATATAAAAAACAATACTTACATTATTAATTATAATAAATTTATTAAGAAAGAAGTTTCGAAGAGTAAGAACAGAAAATTCTACTATATATAAGCAGTATAGGAGGCGGAGGTAACAAACCAACAGCAGAACATTGCTAATAACAAATATGAAGTGTCCGAATATTATAAAAAGTACCAAAACTCCAATACAATAACTCTAAATTTCTTCAGTACTTAACCTCTAAAATCTTACTATATTCTTTTAATAGTAAGAATTAGTCTAAAACCTAATAGACTGCTACTATTCTATACCTAAATAAACTTTTTACGTTTACTGTTCATTTATGTTAAAATAATAAATTAAGGAGCTAATGATTTTATAAGACTATTTAAATACTTCGTATATATTTATTCTACCAAGCATCTTAGTATAGTAGACTATATAATCATTAGTAATAATATCTTGCTCTTTATATCATTTTTTTATTCTTTATTTTAGAAATACAAACAGCCTTATATTTTTCTTTTCTATATATAACTTATTATATGATATTCTTGTTCATAAGAGGTATAAAAATATTTATGGTTATTAATTTTAGATTCTACTGCTTCTACCTTAAATGGGCTATATAGCTGCCAGATACTCTTAATATACACATGTCAAGTTGTTACAATAAGGTGCAGGTGTGTGGGGTTTGCCAAGCAATAAGTATTTGCATTGTGTTAAACTATGCATACAGGTTGAGTTGGTGGAGCAAAAAGTATTATTGCCCATAAAGCACTACACTTCTGTTGATGCTTTTCATCAATAATCTTGGCACCTGACTGCGTTTATCATCCTGCCAGTTGATTTAGTCCTCCACTGACTAGGCTTGTTTTAGCACCAATTACTTAGAGCATGTGTATTCAGCGCCGCGGGCCTCTTGACCCTAATGTGGAGTAGTGCCCAGTTGTCATCTCATTCCCAAGCTGCTGCGCTCCTACCGTTGACATTCAAGCTCTCTACTTTTTTTCCCTCCATCTCCATATAGAAAGACCGAATGAGCTCGTCAAGGCACTTCCATCCACACATCTACATCATCTTATAGTACCAAGATATCGCAAAAGTTCGACAAAACCAGGCGGATATACACTACTCTAGTCCTGTGTGCTATCTTCTACTGCAAGCTTCCCACGAATGCATATAGTTCGGCTCGGAAGCCGCATATTGATAAGACAATGAGCTTAAATCCCCGAGACGCAGTCTCATCCGCTGAGGGCGAAAATCAAGTTGCGTTGTCCGAAGTGCCCAACATGCAAAAGTCAAGTACTTCCCAGGTATGACCGCCGGCATGTAACAGACAATCAGCGCACTTACACCCAAGGATAATCCCAGGACGACTTCCCTGTACAGACGCCTACTCTGAGTAGTAGAATCAAGAGGAGGATTTCCGAACCTGTTGCCGCAGCTTTCGTGGCCGGGGGGGTGGCCGGGGCCGTATCCAGGACCATTGTCTCCCCACTTGAACGTCTCAAGATCCTCCTACAAATACAAAGTGTCGGGCGAAATGAATATAAACTATCGATATGGAAAGCGCTGGTGAAAATAGGCAAAGAAGAAGGCTGGAAGGGATATCTGCGGGGAAACGGGACCAACTGCATCCGCATTGTGCCGTACTCCGCCGTCCAATTCGGAAGCTATAATCTCTACAAGAAAGTCAGTGAGTTCAGCGCTGCTTGTCCAAAGCCCCGGACTCAGTCGCAACATTCCCCTTGGGCATTCTCATGTGAAGCCTAGTAGAAGGCTGGCCTTACCTGACTCGATCACCTATAGTTCGCAGAGCCTTCTCCTAATACAGACTTGTCCCCTATCAGGCGCCTCTTATGCGGAGCTGCTGCAGGGGTTACATCCGTGACCGTGACCTATCCTCTAGACATAGTCAGAACTCGGCTTTCTATCCAGTCAGCCTCGTTTGCGGCGCTCGGCCAGCGGGGAGCAGGGGAGCCATTGCCGGGCATGCTTACAACGATGATCCTAATATACAAGAATGAAGGTGGAATAGTAGCATTGTATCGGGGGATAATCCCCACAGTGGCTGGTGTTGCCCCATACGTAAGGACCGCATTAACAAAACAACTGACAAATATTGCCTATGAACTGACAGGTATAGGTTGGCCTCAATTTCATGACATATGAGTCGGTTCGCACTTATCTCACCCCGGAAGGCGAAACAACGCCGAGTTCCGTTCGTAAATTGTTAGCCGGGGCAGTTTCCGGGGCAGTGGCTCAAACCTGCACGTATCCATTGTAAGAGACCCACACATTGTCATCCTCACACACGGACTACCTTATGCTCACTCTTCTATTAGTGATGTTTTACGTCGACGATTTCAGATTAACACAATGTCGGGGATGGGATATAAATACACATCGGTTGTAGATGCTGTGAAAGTTATTATGGCCGAGGAAGGCATACGAGGCCTATTCAAAGGAATTGTTCCAAATCTCCTGAAAGTGGCCCCAAGTATGGCCAGCAGCTGGCTCAGCTTTGAGCTGACAAGGGACTTCCTTGTTAGCATGGGCGAGATATGAGAATACAACCGCCGTACATCTTATCGCGTGGATAAATTTCTCCCGTCAACAAGAACAGAGATCACCGAAGACACATAGACACAGTGGGGGAATAAAACCTGCAAATTCTCCCATTGGAACGAGCAGGACTTTTGTTTACCGTCGAAGAGTAATTGTTCCTAAAATACAACATGATACTCTTCATTCTGGTAATGTTTTCAAGCGCAGAAGAAGAAGAAGAAGAAGCCAAGAATATAAAGGTTTCTTCTATCCATAGATAACATCAACTTCAAGAATGCTCTTACGCAGATAAAAGTAAGCTAAACTATGGGTCTAAGAACAAGCTAGTACTACAAGAACACATTTTTAATTACAAAGACATGAACCAAGGTGGAGCGGAGCTGTGCATTACACTTAGGTACACGTACCTACGGGCCAGAATAAAGTTATCCAGTGGTACTGCCTGAGGCGCCAGGCAGCCAGGCATCTGGAAATAACCTGTTACGGATTAGACTAGGGCACAACCCGCACACACCGTCCATCTGAAAATCGTAGACTAAAAATCTGAGCAGCTTCATTTTACCTACGGGTGCGATAGCCAGCTAACCTACAGGTGTCCCATCAGAATCAGTAGCCATGGGTACGTTTCTAAATGCTGCGGACGGTGCATGTTATCGGTCGCTTTGAATTCATTTTTGTCAAACTTGCGATAGGCGTTGCTATCGCTGAAATGTGAACCGAATAAGTACTGATTCTCTATAGGTATCGACTTGGATCGCCACCATGTGCGCGGCACCCACCGCAAGGCGCCCAAGAGCGAGAACGTTTACTTGCAGGTCTTGGTGAAGCTCTATCGATTTCTCGCCCGTATGACACCAACCACTTCCTGAACATCAGATGCGCAGCGAATGAAGACTGATGAATTTGCTCCATATCAGGTCGCACGGAATCGAACTTCAACAAGGTCGTGCTCCGTCGCCTTTTCATGTCCCGGATCAACCGCCCCCCCGTTTCTGTCTCTCGCATTGTCTCCAACGTTACCGACTCCCACAAGGGCAAGACAATTGTCGTGATTGGAACTGTGACCGATGACAACCGCCTCCTCACCGTCCCCAAGCTCTCGATTGCCGCTCTCCGCTTCACTGCCACTGCTCGCGCCAGGATTGAGAAGGCCGGTGGTGAGACTCTTACTCTCGATCAGCTTGCTCTGCGCGCACCAACTGGAGCCAATACTCTTCTGCTCCGCGGGCCCAAGAATGCCAGAGAGGCTGTGAAACACTTCGGCTTCGGTCCCCACAGCCACAAGGCATGTTACATAGACTCAGTGGATTGGACCATGCTAATACGTTACAGAAACCATATGTGCGCAGCAAGGGCCGCAAATTCGAGCGTGCTCGTGGTCGGAGAAGGTCTCGTGGTTTCAAGGTTTAAAATAGTGGTCGGACTCGTACTTTCCTTGTTAAGTAGATGCTGCCCAGTGTTGCAGGATCATGTAGCCCAACCTTAACCACGTGATTTTGAAGCATGGCCAGCGCCCGATTACTTCGACTGTCTGCGACAGGCAATCTGTTAGTCATGAATAATCAGGTAGAGAAGCTTGGGTGCCACGAAAATGAAAATGGATTCAAAACGTTCAATTGTAATGATGGAATATGTAACAGCACTTCACAAAGGTAGCACCTCATGTTTCCAGCTTTTACCACTACCTGTTTCGGAATAATCTGCAGCTCTGTGGCCCTCCCCCCGGATTTTATACTTGTAAATGGTCAATCCATCTAAGCCAACGGGGCCTCTTGAGTGGACCTTGTTTGTGCTGATTCCAACCTCCGTACCGAAACCATAACGCATCCCATCTGCAAATCTCGTCGAGGCATTCCAGAAAACTCCGGCGCTATCAACGCCATTCATAAACCTTTCTGCAGTGCTTCTCGATCTCGTGACGATCATGTCAGTGTGTTTTGACGAGTGCCTGTTGATATGGGCAATTGCTGCGTCAAGGCTTTTCCCAGGTGAATCGTCGCTGGGTATGGTTTTTACCGCCAGAATGAGGTCCAAGAACTCGGTTTCGTAATCAGAGGCGATAGACTCCGAGACCAAGGACTGTTCTTGAGCGACGATCTTGCTCGAAAGCGCATCTTTTGAAGCCGGATCACAACGGAGTGATACTCCTTTAGCTAAAAGAGCCCCAGCAACAGCAGGAAAGATAGTATGGAGTACATCTTCATGCACGAGTAAGGTCTCTAGGGAGTTGCACGCTGCCGGGTAGTCGGTCTTGGAGTCCACAACAACCTTTACAGCAACATCAGGATCGGCGTCATGATGTATATATGCTGAGCAAAGACCGTCTGCATGGCCCAGAACAGGGATTTTGGTGTTGTCCTGTACGAAACGGACAAGATCCTTGGAACCCCGGGGTATAACCAAGTCAATGTCGGTGTTTTGAGCAAGCAGGGAAGAGACGACCTCTCGTGTCTCCACCAACTGGATCGAAGCCTTGGGCACCTGAGTGTGTGCGATAGCCTCGGAAATCACCTTGGATATCGCGATGAAAGACTCAGTAGATTCCTTGCCACCTTGATCACTATCAGTTTCAGGCGATCTTTGTGAAAGAGAAGAATAGACAGACCTTTGAGGATAGCAGCATTTCCAGATTTGATAGAAAGGGCAGCGATGTTGGCGATCACCTCAGGGCGAGCCTCAAAGATGATCAACAACACCCCGATGGGGCAGCTAACTTTTTCGAGCGTCAGGCCGTCATCCAGCAGTGTCCTCATGGTCACATTTCCGACTTCATCACGTCAGCTCTTTGGTCACATCGCAGGGGAAAGGTCTCGCGGTAATTTGATGGAATAAATACCTGGATCTTGCAAGTCTCTGACACTCAAGATACCCTGAAGCATATCTTCAAATTTCCCGGGTCGTGACAGGTCGAGCCTTTTGAGAACACTTTGGTTGAGAACGCCGGCTTCAACTGCGCGCTCGGCAGCTGCAACATCTCTCGAATTGGCTGCCAGAATATCATTCCGGCTTTTCGCAAGGGCTTCGTGGAGCGCTGTCAGAGCGTCGTTCCTCTCAGCCCCAGATAGGGTTGCTAAAAGACGAGACGCCACAGACGCAGATTTCGCGATCTCCGCTGGTGAGGAATTTGTGAGGGACATTGTAGACCACAATACAAGTGAATGTGCTCAATGTTTTACCAATACAGGTTCAGAGAGCCGTCTGATCACGGAATCCGGGGTGCAGTTCCCAGAATTCGGTCAGTGAGTCATGGTTAGGGCGGCGCTAAGGATCCAAGGTAACCTGTAAACAATGCTGCTAACCAAAAAGGACATGTGGACTCGTCCGTATTTTGGTGGGGTCTCCGGCGGTGCGTTATGCTGCTCCCTGCCGGATCGCCGGAATCAGAAGAACTTGTTACACAATATTGAGATATATGTCGAGATAACATCTCGCAGTCTGCATTTGCCCCGCTGCATAAAATTTACTACAGGCCTGTACACCCTAAAGGCAGCATCCTTAGGATAACGCCCTGGGGTCACGTCGGCGGAATCCCATCTTCAACCTCGGCAGCATCTTCTAGCTAGTGGAGAACATCGTTTACCTGCTTCGCCTAGCCCAGGCTGCTTTGGCGTTGAACATCACTTTGGGCATTACTTCTATTGCACCATCCATGTGAGATTGCTTCAATCATCGAAACCTTGAAAGCCAGTCCCTATTTGGGCGCAGGGGTTATTCGCTCTTCCTCGAAACCTTGAAATCAAACCCGGCCTTATTAATCATGGCAGAGTCTGTTGAGCACATTATCTCTTTATCATCCCATCTGCGTTCACAAGACCTTCTTTCAGAAAAGGATTATCAATGCCGGGCGCAGGAGTTGATCGCTATTCTTCGGCGAACAAGTCACAGCCTTCTCAGCGAGATTGTCTTAACTGTAAGCAGAGATATACGTTTCCTCGGAATATGACGGGCATACTCGGCCTCTATCAGAGTTTGTACTGATTTGGAGTCTAACTCTGCAAAGGACCTGAGTCCCCACGAGCACACTTTACCCTACTTATTCGTGTTGCTGTATCAGATTGACTTGGCACGCAGCAGAGCAAGAAGTGCTTTACCAGACGACATCAAGCCCGGTGGCCGGCTATGGTTTCCAGCCGTACAGTTTCTGGGGGACTTTAAGGGGCCTCAGGTTCGTTTCGCGGGCCATGAATGGCGTCAACTGGTGAATATGATTCTAGATGCTGCAGAGGGTGACTCAAAGGCGAGTCTCCCTTCTAAATATCTCTTTACATGTCTCAGACATTTAACATGCAGCAGGCATTGTTAGCAGTGCGCGTGTTGAGTGACGCAATAATGCGACTTGATCAAAACGTGTGTGAATTCTCCTCATTGCACGCAAGGTTCCTCCGACTGTGCCTTCTATCGCAGTCTTATAGCTACGCATTGCCCGTACTTGATAGACATATATCCAGTATTCATACAAGCTTGGAGCAGCCTGCCAGGGGTGGCAACGGATACCTGCTAGCTTCGAACAGCGATGCCAACAATTGTATCGTTGAGGCACCCGGCATCTCTCCCAGACTGACACACAAGGATGTTGCGCAGCACTATCTTTACGGTGCCATGATATACATAGCACTTAAAGAGTGGGATAAGGCCCTGCACTGGTTGAGTGTTGTGATTTCTTTGCCTGTTGTCAATTCAGTAAGCAAGGTCATGATTGAAGCATTCAAAAAATGGGTGCTTGTGGGTTTACTGAGACACGGAAAGGTAAGTTAGTAGGGTGTTCGGGATGAGATTTTTATTCGAATTTGACTAATCACTTGAGTTAGCTCGTCACTGCTCCAAAGATAATATCCTCACATGTGATGAAGATATACCAAGCAGTCGCAAGACCCTATCTTTCCCTTGCAGATGCTTTTGTAAAGTCGGATGAGCAGAGATTGCGCACTGAGGCGGACTTGGGGAAATCGGTTTGGTGTGCTGTGAGTCAATGCATGGGCAACATTCAATACTAGCAAACTTTGCTGATACCTTACCAGGATCTCAACTCTGGCCTTGTTCGCCAGCTTTTCCAGGCCTATGACATGTTTCTTGTACTCAAGCTGTGCAGCGTTTTCTCGGCCCTGACAACAAAAGATATCGCAGGAATAGCGGCGTCTTCGGGTTTGGATTCGCCGGCAAAGATTGAGAATTTGATTGCGCTTCTCGTGATGTCAGGAGTGCTAGAGGCACGACTCTTACAAAGGCCATGTGATCGATCTTTCAGCATGTTGCGTTTACCTAAGTCAACACAGCCTTATTATTGCAGTCGAAGCAGAATGAGGGTTGGGCTAGTGACAAAAAGCCATGCACTTAAGGTATTGACCTACAACAGTGAGGAATGTAACAATGAGTTAAAGATAGGCCGTGAGAACATCGATCTTCTTGTGAGATGCCAGGGGTTGTCTGGTGTTGCAGGAAAAGGAAGCAGTAGGGGCAGTATTGATCATGCTGCTTTTGGGGTTGATGAAGACATAATGGGAGATCTCAGCTAGATTATCACCATCCTTAAGTAGCAATCTCAAGTATAAATATTCTATCATACAGTCAATGCACATTGTTTGTGCAAGCCACTCCCGATGTTCTAAAAAAAATACACATTTGGTACTGATTCCAGCTGATTGTTAAGGAAAAATAGGTCAGCTAGGTATAGAATAGTAGCAGTCAATAATTTACCAACTTATTTTTGCTATTTTTAAAGTATAGTAGCATACTAGAAATTAAGTTTAAGAGCAGGTTAAAAGTATTATTATGATAATAATAATGTCAAAATGTAGAGTATGACGAATTTATAAATAAGTAAGTTGATTAAGTTGATGAAGATAAGGAAGTCCAAAGAATTGGCAAGGCTGAAGTTCTTCTGCTTAGGCAGTGACTAGAGCAGTCTATAAATAAAACAGCAGAATAATTAATACAGTTAATATATACTATAAATACTGGTCTTTAAGACTGATATTCTTAGAAGTATATATATAAATAAATTAATATAAGTAATATAAAATAGTCTAGAATATATAAATGTGGTTTTAAATATATAAAATATAGAAAATGCTTTAATATAGTATACAAAGTACAAAATACCGGGTATAAAAAATATAAAAATATAAAGTTGTAGCAGTGTAGAATACAGAGTATAAAGACAATATATTTAGATTATTAAATATAATAATAGTAATAAAAGTAAAAAATAAGATAATATATTTTAATATCAATAAATATATAAAACTAAAAGGTATAATAATCTTTATACTTTTTAATTTATTTATCTGTAGTAATATTGGAGGTATAGATTTATATATTATTTTTAAAACTATATCTAAGCCAGCAGGTAAAATATTATATAATAAATATATAATATTAACTGTAATAAACAGTATATTTATTAAAAATTTTAAATACTATCCAACAGTTCTTATTGGAGAAGTATTTGTTAATAATATAAAACAGCTTAGTAGATATACAGCTATATAAATTAGTTTTAACTGGGGTAGGCTTAAGCTGTATAATAAATATAACAGGGTAAATATACTATAAATTAAAAAAAATAAAGGTAATATATATAGTATTTAATAATTTAATAATAAAAAAAGTATAAAGATTGCTATATGTGAGAATGAAGTTCATGATATTATTAAGTATAATGAAGTTCTTGAGGAAGAAGTTTGAAAGGGTGAGAATATAAGGCGCGGGAAGTTCTGCTATATAGGCAGTGTAAAGGGCGGAGGCAATAGATAAACAGCAGAATATTGCTAATAATAAATATTAAATATTTAAATATTATATATACTGTACTTTAAGATAGATGTTTTTATTATAGTTAATTAAATATATAAGATGCTATATATAAAAATAGGAATTGTAATAGACAAGAATATACAAAGCTGTAATTAATAAAATATATAAAATAGTAAGATATTTGGAAATATAAAAAATATATAGAATAAAAAATATAAAGATTAATATTCTTAAGTATAAAGAAAAGGAGAGGATGGATATATAAATAAACAGCAAGTTAATATCTTTAATATAGCAACTTATTTAAAATATTTAAATATATAAATAAGGTTAGGTGTGTTGATATTAAATAAATAGACCTATATATTATTTTCTAAACTATATTCTTTTTAATAAATAAGGTATTAGAAGACTGGTATATAATATTAACTATAATAAATTATATATAACTTTAAGATGTAGTTAACTTTTTAGTAATTATTATTATTAAAAAAAGGCTTTATTAGTTACCTTAGGCGGCTTAAGTAATATATATTTAAAAGAATTAAGATTATTAATATAGTAGACCAGTTCCAATTACACAATTAATATAACTGGATATATTTTTTATAATTTAGAAAAGTTAAGTTAATATGTATAATAACTAATAATATTAAAAATATAAAATAGGCTAATATACTAGAGTAATAGCTTTTTTTATGATAAATAATATAGTATATTTATAGTAGAGATGTAAATATACTATATTACCAGATATAAAAAATAAGGGCTTATAACAACAGTTATATAAATACTTTATATATATAGTAGTAAATTTAACAGCTTTTTTAGTATTAATATAAAAAAAAGTTTTAAATATTATTAAGATTTATAGTAACAGGATGCTTTCTGGAATAATTTTAGTATTTTTTAAAAATAATAATTTTATATAGAATATCTTTAAGTAGGATATTATATATATTAAAAATAGAGGAAGGAACAACTACCTTAATAAATAAATATAAATAAGAAAATAAATAAATAGAAGGTATATACTAAGATATATTAAAATATTTAGACTATTAATTAAAGTAATTTTTAAAATATTAAATTAACTATTTTTAGACTTGGTATTTTAGAAAACAGTAGAATTAATATTAGGAATATTTAGCTTAGTAGAAACAGCAATATTAAATATAATATACTTTAGAATAGTTTTATATAAGATTATTTTAACTAAATACTATAGTTCTTGTAGTAAAATACTGAATATAAAGTAATATAGTATATTTTTTATAGCTGCTGAAGAAAATAAATTAATTATAAATATAATAAATAATAATATTAATACTTATAAAGTATAGTTTTATATAATTATTTATTATAATATAATTTTAACTGTTTAGATTATATATTTCTTTTGTTTATTGGTTTAAGAATAGGCTGCAGTAGAATAGAACTATTTTATATTTAAATAAAAAAAATCTTTTTAAAATATACTTATAAATTAACGATTTTTTTTAGAAATAAAGTAATATAGTATATTTTATTTATAGAGTTATATATATTTAATAAGGGTAATACTCTAATACTTTGCTTTTTAGGTCAATTTATCTAAAATAAGGCTAATATATTTAGTAAACTTATTAACAATAATAAAAA